CAAGGCCTGGTGGGCCAGGATGTGCTCCACTCTCTCCTCCTCCCCCTTCATCTGCTCCCGTGTGCTCTGATCAGATATGTCCCTCTCCCGGAGCTGCAGATTCAGTGCCGTCCTCTGAAAGAAATTCTTCTGGGGGGAGGGGCAGGTATCCATGTAGTTGAGATTGGGGTTGGCCCCTCAGAGTTTTTGTTAAAGGTTTAAAGATATTTTTTTTAACACGGTTATCGTCTACAGTTGTAGTCATCCAATAACAGCCAATCTAGGAAGTCTTCCCATCCCCAGTGCCCCACTGGAAAATTTCAGATTTTGTTCTATATTTTTCTCCCATTCTGTTGATGCTCATCTATTGTGGCCTTAATGAGAACTGTAGGTAGTGGTAACCAGGCACTATCTAGTTCTGGTTTTAGGGTGGATGTAGATTATTTGATTATGGCTCATTTAGATCATTTGTCATGTAGACTTTTATTTATGTATTTGATTTTTTTTTCTTTTGCACAAGATAAATAGAGACTGGGTGTGTCTTAGGTAGCCATAGGCGGCCTTTTCAGACCTAATACACACTCAGTAAAGTAGGATGTAGAACATCATTATGAACTATGTTATGCCAACTGACCAAAATTTTACATAATATTGTAGTCTTGATCTTTCAAACCAGGAAAATCAGTCTCAAAGGATATTGGGTTAAGTGAAAGAAATGTTTGTTGCTATGGTCTCTTTGAGCTTCTTGTGTATACTGTATATATACTCGAGTATACGTCAACTCGAATATCCGCCAAGGCACCTAATGTTACCACAAAAACTGCATTAAAAATGTGCTGGGAAAACCCCGGCTTATTCTCGAGTATATATGGTAAATATAGAGAGAAGCATAAAGAGATATAAAGATATATATGGCTCAGGTCTCTATGATATAACCTAATAGTAGAACTGCTGGATCATATAGTATTTCTTCTGTTGCTAAATTCTTAAAGGAATTGCCATACCAGTTTCCACAGTGGTTGTACCATTTTATAATCCCAACCATCAGTGCATGGGGTTCCCGTCTCTCCTCATTCTCACCAGCGTTTGTTGTTTTCTGGTTTTGGAATTTTGCTCATAATATGAGATCTCAAGGTTTTTTAAAATTATTTTTAAAATCATTTTTTGGGGGCTCATGCAACTCTTATCACAATTTGTACATACATCCATTGTATCAAGCACATTTATACATTTGTTGCCATCATCATTCTCAAAATATTTTCTTTCTACTTGAGTCCTGGTATCAGATCCTCATTTTTCCCCTCCTCCACAAACCCTTGATAATTTATAAATTATTATTATTTTGTCAAGTCTTACACCATCCGACGTCTCCCTTCACCCACTTTTATGTTGTCCGTCCCCCAGGAAGGGGGTTATATGTAGATCCTTGTGATCGGTTCCCCCTTTCTACCCCACCTTCCCTCCACCCTCCCAGTATTGCCACTCTCACCACTGGTCCTGAAGGGATCATTTGTCATGGATTCCCTGCGTGTCCAGTTCCCACCCGGACCTGTGTACATCCTCTGTTCTAGCCGGATTTATAAGGTAGAATTGCGATCATGATAATGGGAGGGTGGGGGAGGGGTGGAGGAAGCATTAAAGAACGAAAGGAAAGTTGTATGTTTCATTGTTGTTACACTGCTTCCTGACTGGCTTGTCTCCTCCCCTTAATGCTCTTTTGATTTGCAGTTTTCTATTAGCTAATGATTGGGAGCATTTCTTTGTATGTTTTTTGTCTATTAAATGCTGCCTTTTGCTGAAGTGCCTGTTTATATCCTCTGCCAGATTTTTAATTAGATGATATTTTTGTGCGTTGTTAAGGTGTTAAATTCTCCATATATTTTAGTGATTGGTCCCTTGTCTGATACTGTTGTTTACTTTTGTTCCCTGCCACTCTGTAGGTTCTCTTAACTTTTCTGGAGAAATAATGCTTTTCACTTTCTTCTGTGAATTAAGGGGAGAAAGACAAGACTCTTTTTGTTTTTTACATCCTTTAATTTTGTTTTGCTTTTTATTTGAAGATTAGTTTTTCCATCTCTGCAATAAACGGTGATGAAATGTTAATAGAGATGGAATTTATCTGTAGCTTCCTGAGGGTGGTATATGACATTTTCCCAATTTGGGTCTTCCTGTCCATAAGTATGAGGAGCCCTGGTGGTGTAGTGGTTAGGCATTGGGTTACAAACTGTATGGCCAGCAATTTGAAACCACCAGCAGCTCCAAGAGACAAACAAAGTCTGGGCTTTCTATTCCCTTAAATAGTTAGTATTGGAAATCCACAGGGGAATAAGTCTGACTAAGATGAAAAAAACACACCTATGTTCAGAAAACCTCAAAACACTATTAAAAGAAACCAAAAGAGGTCAACACAAATGTTATACCACCCTTATGGACAAAACCAAAGACCAGAGGATCAGAGAGCCAGATATAGTATCTACACACATCAAAAGGCTTGTTTACCTTCAAGCTTTTAGGACCCCATACACTATATCTTTTGATAGCCGGGCACCATCAGCTTTCTTCACCACATTTGCTTATTCACCCCCTTTGTCTTCAGCGGTTGTG